CTTGAAATGAAAGAAGTTAGAATTTCTATTGATGGTTCATGGCAAAAGCAAGGTCATAATTCGTTGAATGGTGTTGTAACTGCTGTTTGTAGTGATAAATGTATTGATGCAGAGATATTTACCAAACGTTGCAATGGATGTAAAATGTGGAGATCTAAAAAAGGAACTCCAGAGTATCAGTGTTGGTTGGTTGATCACCAGTGTGAATCGAATCACAAGGGTTCATCGGGTAGTATGGAATCTGTAGGAGCTGTGGCTATGTTTAAGAGATCTTTACAAAAAAATAAGTTGATATATAAAGAATATCTAGGAGATATGATGTAAAACAAAAATTTAATATAAAAGGAAGCTCATTTACAACTAAACTGGTTGCAGAAATTGCTGTTAGTTCATCTGAAGATGAAAATGATGAAGATTTTGACAATGGGAATAATAGTATAGTTAGCAATAATAGTTCTCCAGTTTTCTGTGATCTAGTTGATTTTTCTGTTGTAACACCTTCTGAAAGTAGTCAATCTGTACAGAGTTCTTCATCAGTTAATGCAACTGCAACAGAACCTCTCCCAAGTTCTTCTTTATCATCAGTTCGCAATTTACATAATATAAAACGCTGGATAGATACTTGTGACCAGAAAACCCACAAGGATTTAGAAATAACTTTTAATATGGAACTGCAACTGCATTTTCAATGGTTGATAATCCATTATGGAGGGAGTTTTTTAGACAACTAAGACCTGCTTGGAACCCACCATCTCGGTACAAACTTGCAGGACCTTTGTTAAAACTGTGGCATTAACGAATTGAAACTGAAAATTCAGTTCTGATAAAAAAATCTTTAGGGTGTGTTTTGATGTCTGATGGATGGTCAGATGTTTGCAATGATAATCACATACAGTTCCTTCTTTCCACACCAAAACCGATATTTCTTAAGTCATTTCATCCTGAAAGCAATCATCATACAGCTGAGTATATTTTTGACATTGCTAACTCTGTAATTAAGGAAATTCATGTTAAACCTATTGCCTTTATATCAGACCAGGCATTAAATATGACGAAGGCATGGAAGTTGGTACAACATGAACACCCAGAAATTTTTTGTTATGGGTGTGGGGCACATGTACTGGAGCTTCTGGCTACAGATATACTTAAGATTCCGTCTGTTCAGTTTAACCACCTTCAACACAAGGAAGTGTCTAGCTTCTTTAGAAAGAAGCAAGTTCTAAAGCATGTGATGTTAGAACATCAAATGACAAAGAATAAGTCTAAATTAGTTCGCCTACAAAGTATGCCTACAAGATGGTCGACTGCTTTTACTATGATCAAAAGAAATAATGATCTTCAAGATGTTTTGTGTATTTCAATTTCGGATGTTCGAGTTTATGCTTTAAGTGCACATGATAAAGCAAAACTAAATTCTGTGAAGAATACTTTACATGAGACTGTGTCATATTGGTCAATAAGTGTGTTTTGCGAAAAACTACTGGCAGCAATTCGAAATGCAGTTAAAGAGAAATGCAGTTAGGAGATCTTGTTCGTGCATCTGTAATGCCTCGTTTATGGAACTATGTTGTCAACATCTTCAAAGAAGTGTTATTAAATAGTGACTGTGAAATTCCTCAAGATGATATAAAATTGATAACTGAGGCTGTTGAAAGGCGTAGAAAATCTAGTGTGCGTGATATTCAAAAAGCAGCAAATCTTTTGGATCCTAGATTCATGGGAAATGATTTGATAGAATCAGAAAAAAGACAGGGTCTTTCAACAATCGTCAAAGTAGGACTAGAATTTCAGTTATTAAGTGGGGAGAATATGAAAGATTTTATGGCTTTTAAATCCCAATCTGGAGAAGTTTACGGTAATAAATTGATTTGGGAAGCAGTTGACATTACCATTGACCCATTACATTGGTGGTCTGCATTCTGTAAAGGACAACCTTTACAGAATATTGCATTTAAGCTGCTATCATTAACTGCCTCATCAGCTGCAGTTGAGCGCAGCAATAAAGAATATGCACTGCAAAAAACAAAAAAACGTAACAGGCTGTCAGATGCTCCAAGTGCAACAGTAACAAAAGTTGCTTGTAATATTAAAGTACAACAACCTGTGAAAAAGAAAAAGAAGCTGGCTCATACAGCGCTCCAGTTCTCCGATGGTCCTATAGATATAAACTTTTCTTCCATTATATCTTTAAAAGGTAACATAAAGTAATTGATTACCATAGATGTAAAAAGTATTTTTGTTTGCATTATTGTTTTTCTATATACAATTTTAGTTCTGATGTAACAGAGCATCATTTATTATGTAGCCATTTCAATATAAAATATTCATTCTTCACCTCTAATGAAAATATTATAAATTATAAATATTTAATTATACACAAGAACAAGTTTCTTTAGATTCACAACCACCTCATAAGATCCAAAGAACTGACACGGTATCTTTGGTATCTTCTTGGAATAGCTCTGATTCAGAAGTCACAGAAGGTTTTGAAGAATGCAATAGCGACGAAGAATATAATGAACAAGAAGAAGTTGATTTTTGAATGAAATGTGTATTTTCTAAAACTTAATAATTTTTTAATCTCATATACTCTTGTGTGCTATACTAGGGCTGACAGAGTGGGGGTGGTAGTGTTGGGTGGAGGGGGTAATTTTAGTTAAAATTCAATAAACTGGGTAAGTAGGAATTTTTTACAGAACATGAAATAAGCAATTTAATTCTAGTGTGGCTCGCGGTCAAATGTGTATTTTTTAACAGCTGTTACATCATAACTTTGATAGGATCAAATTTAGTTATAAAAGTTATATACAATGGTGAAAATTTACTATAAACGAATACCCAATTTATGATAAATTTAAATTTACAAGATTTTTTATAGATTGAGGATTTTTAAAGCTTGTTTCACTGAAAATATTTATTCTTATCTGTGACTGATATATGAAGACTACAGAGGAAAAAAGGCACATGCCAACTTTTTCAACCTTTGAGATAAATGAAATTTTGAAAGTCGCTATGTTTCCCCTGTATGCCTTTTCTTTAGGCGTTTCTGTAGCATTACATCTATGTAATGCGATGTGATTTTTTTTTTTCTGTTTTATAACATAATAATTTTACAACTTCGTGCTTCATAAAAAAAAAAAGTAAGTAAAAACAGACAGGGGCTCAAAGAAGATGAGGATGACAGTACGTCATCGCAATCTTTTCATAGAGCCCCTTTAACAAAATTTCAATAAAATATCGTATTACGTAATAAAATTTCATATAACATTTCGTAAAACATTTACAAAATAAAATTTCAATTAAATATCGTAATAAAATGCATAATTCACTAATAAGATTGTTAAGCAACAACAACAACAAAAGGTAGAGTGGTAAAATTAACCAAAAAAGTTTCTCAAATTTTAAAAATTTCTGTTTTTGTTATAAACTTGAATGAACTTAACGAATTTACCGTACCTTTGAATCCTTTTTGAAAGGTATTCCATACTTTAGAACCTCGATATGAAATGCTATATTCTGAATCTACACATTTTTTCATAAGGAACTACTAATTTTAAAATAATATTAAAGCATTTTTTCAGTGTATGTATTGATGTGAAAGTACGGTCTAAAATGGCTGCTTAAATAAATGCGCTAGTGGTCTAGTGGTAGAGCGCTCGCATCATCAGAAATTAGTTCTGAGTACAATGACCACCATGTTCAATACAGCTTTATTGGGCTTATGTTTAGTGTTAAAGAGTTTAGAGAGGGTTGTATAAAAACTAAATAAAAAACGAATAAATAAAAATGAGTAGTCTGCTTGAACGCAGGGCCAATGACACAAGTTTTGAATCGGTGGGGGGGGGGGGGGGAAGGGCAATATCGTCAATTCTTAAAAAAAAATCTTCTATAACTAGAATTTCCACCCTGGCTCCCCCTCTCGGTGTCGTCGGCCCTGGAATGTGATAGCACTAACAGCCTTGGAGAGGTAAATATATAAACAACAAAAACACAGGCTGTATACATTATTTACGACCGCAAATTTACTTAGAAAACATTTATGTGGTTGAAGCTTGTTAGCTTTACTGGTTAGGTTGGAAATGGGAAACCAACTTAAAAAATACATATTTCTATGTGGATGAATTCTTTGATAAGACATAATGGTTTCTTAATTGTTAGTTTTCTCTTTAAAAAAAAAAAAATTTATCTTTGACAAAAAAAATTTTTACGGAAAATATACCGATTCCTATTTAAAATTTACCGGTGAATTTTAAATTATATTTTCCGGAAAATTTACATCACTAACACATACAACATCAAACCATGTTTTTAAGTTTCATCATAGCAAGAAAAATATAATTTTTGAATTGAAAATATATTAGATAAAACAGGTATTGCCTGGAATAGTGTACATATTGGTTTCAAACGTTTAGACATTTTTTTTGTTTATGAAATCTAATCAAATTACTTCACAATTAAAAAAAATCAGAATCAGAATATTATCGAGTCCATTTTCTACTTTCTTTAGGATACAAAAGGTACACGCGGTAAACATTAGACAATAGTGGTTGATTCCAAGTTTCCTATTTTTTTAAATGACCATAGAACCTTAAAAAGTTTCAAATTTTTTTTGTTATGAATTTTTAAATTAAAATAGCTTAGTACTAAAATATCATAAAAATATATAACTTCATATTTTCAAAAACTGGACATCTGTGGTTTTACCCGTGTGGTCTCATTTCTTTTATGGTTTTAAAACACAGATTTAATTTTTTATAGCCATATAACTGACCACGCTGTTTTGGGGGTGCCTTAGTTTTTGCGGTGCATTCACCTGTACTGTAAATCTTATTTTTTATGCAAATACTGTCATTTTATGAATTGTAGTCTTGTACTCTTAGAAACAAAGACTAGTAATCGTGCAACGCTTTTCATATAAACATTAAAATTATATCTCAATTATTAACACACTTTCTATATGAATCAAACTTATTTAACCATGTCTTAAAAAGATTTTAAAATACATGGGTAAGATTTTTTTTCTAGAATAATTTTTCAGATTATATTTCTTATAATAAACATGTAGATTGCATTGTACAGTCCTTAAAGCAAAGCTATAAATAGGTGTAAACATTTAACTTGACATGGTCAGCTTATCAAATTGGTAGGTACCCAAACCATCACCACATCTCTTAGCATTGGTGATCAATTTGGCTATTTCATTGATTGAATCGACTTGCTCATCCAAGAACTCAGATTCTATGAAATCGCTCAAATGAGGATCATTGTGCTTTCCAGCAATAGAATGTACATTTAATAAAGACTCGTTAACTTTCTTTTCCAATTCAAGTGCTGCTTCTAAAGCTGACACTGGTGTACTCACTTGAAATTGGGGAGCTTGAACATCTTTTAAAATTATTCGACCACCACGTTTGTTTTGATATTTCATTAGCTTAATTAAAAAAAAATATTTTGATGTAAAAAAATAAAAAATACAACGATATATAAAAAAGTCTAAAAACCCCCAAAAAAGTTTTTAAACTTACTTTCTGAGCATGTTCACGCTCTTCATCTGATTGATGCTTGAAAAACTTGAAATAACCATCCAATGCTACGTCATCTTGATCAAAATAATAAGCCTGTAAAATCAATATTTGCTACACTAAACATTTTTTATTTACAAAAACTGTAACAATTACTACTAGTATGGTTTTAATAAGTTTCCCATAATGTAATTTTTTATTTAAATGATATATTAAAATAATTTTATACAAAAAATGCTATTCTTGACATTAAGCTGATTTTCAGGTTTGACTGTATTTATTGTGATGGTACTACTAAAAGTATTGGTACTTAAGGTTTACGAGATCCACTTACCCTTACCTAAATAGCTTCACCTACCTCAAAATAGGATCAGTTTAACATCATGAACAGGAAATTTCATGATAGTATATTACATGGAATTCTGCAGAAATATAGAAATAGAACTTTTGCTCAAAACCAAAAAAGAAAAAAAAAATTTTAATAAATTTTTAACTAAACTCTCACCTACTATATACACCACTTACACTTGCCCACACCACTACACCACTTGCCCACACCACTTACACCACTTGCCGACACCACTACACCTCTTGCCCACAAATCTTACTCCTCTTATTCTTGCCCACAAAAAAATGAAGGATTTTATAGTATATAGCCTTCAAACCTAACCTGTGTTGAAAAAAAAAACCTAACCTAAGGGAGCAAATTAATTTTTTAGTCTTTTTACACTCTCACAGTTTTAATGATATATTATATTGATTATGATAACATTATAATCAATTTAAAAAACTTATCTATTTTTCCTAATAATGCACTTCAACTTATATTTCACAAATAAAATTAAAAACAAATTTATCTTGCCATTAACAAATTCAAGTTTTATTAATTGGCCAAAAAAATGTTGTTTCTTTTAAGTGGTCTTATTAGTTATTCACATTAATAAAATAACATTATTATTATCTAATGTTGTCTCACTCCATAAAATATTTTGTAACTATTTTGTAACTGATTTACGATTACAAAACATTGATAACCTGACTATGCAACTAAGTTTATTTAACTTGATTAAAAAACAGGCAATCTGATTTCGCTAACCCGAGATCAGTATGTTAATATTTAGCAATAAATAGTATTATTGATTTATACATTTAGAAATGTATAATTTAATAATAGTATGCGTTAATAACATTGTATGCCCCACATTTTAAATTTTAAACTTACCATAGAAAGATATTGATAGCTGGCATACAGCTCCATGTTTATCTGGTTGTTAATAGCTTCTTCGCTTTCTTGGTGAAAGCTTTGCTTGCATTGTGATGTCATTTTCGTTTTATTGTAAGGTTATAATGTATTAAGTAAAAAGTTCGCAAGACAAAGCTGGTTCTAACACTGTAGAAGCACAACAATCTTTAATAATCAAATCTGCTGATGTGCAAGATCTTATAGAAAAAGTCACATGACAAAAAATCAATATGATTGGTCTAAAATGATTCTCACTATAATAAACTACTTTTGTTTTGTTGATAAGTATTTGATTGGCAACATTATTTGAATAGTAACTTTATCTTTGAATGAAAAAATCTATTTACTCATTTAAAAACACTTTTTAAAAATCCTGTTGCTAAATTCTTACCAAAAAATTATTTTCGTACTTTATAGGAATGCTACTAAATTGTCAATTTTATTGGCTAAATAAGTAAATTAGACTTAGAGATCGTCCACAAATTACATAGCGCAAACTTTCTTAATAAACAAAACAAAAGCGATCAAAAGTTTTCCCTCGCAGAGTCTTAATTTAAATATTAAATCACAATACCCCTTTAAGTTTAATGAAAATCACCGCGTAAAAGAGCTTAAAATCTCCTTCTGTTTTTTAAATATATTTTGCGTTGCGTAATTTATCGACGATCCCTAAACAACGTTTGAAGATTTATTTACTTTACGACAGCTGAAAGCAAAATGGCAGATAAATAAATAATAAATGAGTTTTGGGTGCGCCCACGGAACTTTAAATTAAAGTTCCTTTGATACGGCGTTTTAAAGTTCGCCGGTTACAGTAATGTAAATTTCTTATTATTTTTCATTATAAAATTACTTAAGCAATAAAATTTAAGTTTTTTTTTAATAATTTCATTTTTACATTGCAAGATTTTTTTATGTGAATAGGCAAAAAAAATATATATATAACCTGTCTTTTTGTTCTTAATCATCAAAAATAACAAAGACGCCTTTATTTAGTCGATTATGCAAATCTAAAAGACATCTTTTTTCGCCATCGCAAAGATGTCTTTTTTGTCTTTATCTTATTATGAAAAGACTTTAAAATGCGTCTTTAAGACGTCTTTGTTAATCGATTATAAATATCTAAAAAAGTTTTTTCTCGGCGTCGAAAAGACTTTTTTTTTTCATACTTATAAGTATACTATAGTATCCTATATGCTATAGTATTCCTGCTTTTTATTTATAAAAAGCTATTTTCATTAAATGAAAATGATAAAAGCTCTTCATACAAACTATGATAAAATGATCGATGCTGAGAAAAAAACCTCTTTCAGATATCAATATAAAAGAGGAAGCATTTTCTACATCTTTTATATGTTTAAACATTGGAGAATTGTTTATAAAGGAAACAGCAGTATTGTTCAACAGAATATATTAACTTAGGAATCATCTTCAGATTCATCTCCAGATTCATCATTTTCTTTATCTTTCACATCTGTTTTTTGAGCGAGCTCTGTTTCTTGGCTTTTATCTATTTCACGTCGAGAATGAATAAAATTAACTATTTCATGTCGAGAACTCTTTTTATACAAGCTGGCTGCGAATTCTAAAAAATGAATGAACATGAAAAACAGTCTCATGTTTTAATGTAATACAAAAAAGCAAATGAAATTTGATCAGCTGAATAAACACACTAGGTTAAATTGGGACAGGAATCCAACGGTAGACAGTCTAAAAATATATAAAAATGAGTATGCTAAAGAAATTTACGACCATCAAAATGACTGTACAATGATGTATTTTATTATTTAGTACTTAAACCAAGCTAGACTTTATACTTCTCAGATTAGCTATGAAAGCCAAGTTATTGAAAACAGTTATTGATATTTTTATATCTTCTATGACCTGACCTTAATTTTGATAAAATTAAGTGTTGTAGACCCATAACAATCTCTATTAATAAAAGACAACCAAAAACGAAAAGATACTTCAGCTACATATTAAGGCAATATAAACTGAGTTGTTGCATACAAAATAGTTTTTGAAAACCTGAACTTTTTTTTGGATTTTAGACAAACAAAACTTGAAGGACTAAAATTTTTATTTATTTATGTTAAAAATAAATAAATAAATATGCTTTTTATTGAATCGAAAAATTTGTTTAGTAGAACAAAATTTAACTGCGTTCTAATAATTACCTTAGTTGTCGTCTAGCACTAAATGCGGTGTATTTAGTGCTAGACAATATGATTGTTAGAGATTGCATTACAATGGTATAGTCAAATTTAAACCATTCAGTCGCGTTTAGTGTTTTGTTTTGTTTTCACTACAGCAATACACATTAAGAGTTGCTATTTATTTAAACTGTATAAAGGTATTATTCAAAGCTGAATGATGCTTTACTTAACAACATAAAATTTTAAAAACTGGCGATATCATTAGCAACACAGATAAAATACACATAAACAAAAATGAAGACTAGAAAGCTAGAATGATGTTTAGCTATAAAAAGTGTACCCTTCCAGTATTATTTTCACTTGGTCTATTGGATCCAAACCAAAAGTTTTGCAGACAATTTTAAAGACAAATCTGTTGTCATTGTGTGCATTTTTTACTTTCTTTGTTAACGACAGACATTAGTTAACAAGGAAATAACAACTTTAACATAAAAGTTATAGAGCCAATTTTTTGCTTAACAATTTCATCATTCAACTAAATGCAAAGAACAAAATTACTCAGATCATTTAAAAATATTTTGAAAAAATAAATTGCAAGCTTAATGAATGCTTCTTTTCTATTGCCCTATTAACTGGCACTTGAACTATTAAATACAGACAGAAATTGTTTACAGGTTTCTTTTTTATCTTGAAATAAATATTTTAATTTAATATGTAATAAACAATGTTCTTCAAACACAACACATTAAAAAATTAGTGACATAATGTCAAATGCTTGTAAACTCTAACTATATGCGTATTTTAGCATTGCTCATTTGTTAAAAACCAAAATTATACAGTAAAACTTTTTTAAACACTTACCTGCAACTAACTTAATTGAGACTAGATTATCTTAATACCATAGCATATTGTTTGGTGGAGAATTTTTGAACTTCTGTACAAAATATGATGATTGGGCATGTTTATACAAACTCTTAGGCGTGCTATTGATTACAATAAAAGTTAAATAGATAAAAATAAAAGTAGGCGTGCTACTGATTACAATAAAATCCATTTCAGGAACACGGACGATGACCCCCCCCAAAAAAAAAAACCAAATGCGACTGAGTGTTTTAAATTTAACTACATCATTGTAGTGCAATCTTTAACAATCATATAACATCGTATTTAGTGCTAGACGACAACTAAGGTAATTTTTAGAACGAATTTTGTTCTACAAAAAAAAAAAGTTTTGCGATTTACTAAAAAGCATATTTACTTTCAATTTTTTTTTTTTTTAGCATATTTTAAAAAACTTTAGTCCCTCAGGTCTTATTTGTCTAAAATCAAAAAGATCGCGTTTGTTTGACAAGGTTTTAACTGAAATTTTTTATATTAGGAGAATTTTTAAAAAAATCTTTTAATTTTTTTACTCTTTACGTGAGCGAGCATGAGTTTTATTGAGTTGGACTTCTTAAAATCTAATCTTGATACCGGTCTTGTAAAATATTTCAAAGTTTTGGTCTTGGGTTGATTTTTTTATGTCTTGGTCTTGGTCTTGAAGCATTCAGACTTGGTCTAGGTGTTGGTCTTGACACCAAATGTCTTAATCTTAGTCTTGGTCTTGGCTTCTACTGTCTTGAACCCATCTCTGCCTAATAACTAATAAAACGAAGTGTTTAGTTTTATGTTTTCAATTGAAAACATAAAACTAAACACCTTGTAAAAAAAAAAAAAAAACTTTATTGATAAAGAATACGAAATTATCAGTAGAAAAGGACTATTATTAAAAATTCTTTATTTCATATTGATTATAATCGAACTTAAAAAAATATAAAAAAAGTGAAAACTGTTAATAACCATTTATCGCATTCAGGGAGAATAAAAATTTTCCTAGAACCCAAAGGAAATCAAAGTCCCCAAATCCTTGTGGAGCAATTTTAACTGTTATGGATGCATAGGAAATAAAGAACTAAAACAGAGTTGGAAATAACAAAGAAATAAACTGTAATATGTAAAAAGTTCAACTACAGAACAGAAAAGCAATTTACAACCAACTAAAGCTTTCTGTTGCAACTAATAAACCCAGTAAACAACATGTATATAGGTATATATTTTTAAATTCCATTCACATTCAGAAGTTACCTACGAGGTGGAAAACACTCTCAGCAATCCATATGAAAAAACTGTTCTAATTATTGAGAAATTAGAGATTTTTTCGATTGCAAAGCAAATCACTAAACTGAATGGTTTAAATTAAAGTTTGAACTATAAATAATAAAAATATCCAAAGATATAAAATAAACTAAATTGAACTGTATGATTGAGACTTAATTTTAATTACTAGTAGGTCAAAAATCTTTAAACAGTTTAGAATTTTTGTCTTTCACAATGCCCTTCCACAGTTCTTTTCTATATGGGTTTTTCTGATTTATATACAAATAAATTATAATTATTTCAATATAAATAAACTATATTTTTAGTAATTTTTTTTTATATTGAGTAATTAGAGAACTTCATTCACTTTTAAAAGCTCAAATGCTTAAGGTTACTTAGGTTTAGCTCCTCGCAAGTTTTTAGTTGCTAATACTTTTGTTTTTTGTTGCTAGTGATACTTTTGTTTTTAGTTGCTAGAGATACGTTTGATTTTTTAAAAAGTGATGCTACTCAAATTTCATTTTGTTTATTAGAGTAGTCATTAAGACTTTTTACCAAAAAGACCTTAATATCAAGAATTTAGTTAATCTTTGTTTGCATTTATAATATTTATATTAAGATTTATATATATAAAAAAAGAATGAATATAAATTAAAACTATAATGAAAACTGTAAAACTATAATGAAAGTAACTTTGGAGAATTTTGCTACTTTTTAAATTTAGGAATCATTATTAGATAAAACCATTTTTGAAAATGGTTTGATCTAATAATTGATCACGTACTTTGACAATTCGTTAAAGAAATAGAAAAAAAAGTTGAATTATAGTTTATTGCAAAAAGGTTTTAAAATCTGTTTCCAATAAAACAAACTAATAGAAGTTATAATCATATTTAGTAAAATTGTCATTAAGTGTTTGATT